CAGGCGGGGAGACGGAGGCTCAGAGAGGTGAAGCGAGCTGCCAAGGTAGCACAGCTAGAACACGGCGGAGTCGGGGTTCACGGCACCTGCAGGAGCAGGAGCAGCACCACCAGGGAGGGCAGCAGTGGGGACCCCCGGCGTGGCGTGACGGCGTGTGCCGTGCTCCCTCTCGGCTCTGCGGCCGGCTGCCCGGAGCCGGGGCACGTGGACAGCTCCCTACTCAGGGGCCAGGGCGGCGGTCAGATGAGCGGGTTCGTAAAAGCACCTGGCACACCGTGAGGCGCCAGACACTAAGCAGGAAGGGGGTGTGACAGGTGGGGCCCGCGGCCCCCATTTCAGAGGCACGGCCACCTGTCAGGTGTCGTCCTCGAGCAAAAGGGTCAGGAAGACCTGTGTCCTTCCAAGCCTGCAGTGGGCCTCGGGCAAAACTCACTCCTGCATCTATCACTGGGGAGCCGAGCACCTGACCTTCAGAAACAGTCACCTGCTGGCTCAGGGGCACCGGGAGCCTGGAGTTCCAAGCTGGCCTGGACCAGAGGGTGACAGCTAACCTGTGTGTCGGGAGAGGTTCTGGACGCCATGCGTGCGTGTGCGCACGCGCGCACACGCGCTCACGCGCGCGCACACGCACACACGCATACACACACCCCGTGTGCGGTCCTCACTACCGGCCGGTGCTCTTATCCTGATTTTACAGACAAAACAGAAGCACAAAGAGGCGAAGCAGCTTTCCCAAGGCCGCACGGCTGACAAACGGTGAACTTGGCACTTGGGAGCTGGGCGTGCCATGGGGCTGGCTGGGCAGCAGTCGGTCTGGTCCAAGAGGCGTCTTTCTTACGAGAGAACGCATGAAGCAGAGCCGGAGGAGAGCGAGGCCACGCCGGCCGCCGCCCCCCTGGTCAGGAGAGGCCCTCCCTCGTCGGGGAGCCGTGGGACAAAGCCCTCGGGGACACAGGACAGGCGTGAGAGGTTCCAGGATCTGCAGGCGGGGAGGGATGGCCTGCCACAGGGCTTCAGGGAGATGGCACCTGCTTGGAGTGAACTGTTGCTTGGCTGTCACGATGCGTCACACGCTGGGTGTCCCTTTGAGGAAGGAGCCCATTCCACAGGTGGGAAGCAGGGAGAGACCGCACGTGCAGCCAGTCGGGACACTGGCCCCGGCTTCCACACCGCCCCCTCCCGGTCCCTCTTCTGGTGGCTGAGACCCTCGAGGTCTCTGATGGACCCACTGTCTCGTTCACGCAGTCACCCACATTTTAGAGGGGACAGGCGCTCTCTGCACTTTGTCAAACTTGACTTACGACCCCCGGCTCTGGGGCCAGCCAAAAGGGTGGGTGCTGGACTCTGGCTTCGCCACCGCCCAGCTCCGGGCCTCCGCAAGCCCTTTTCTCTCCTGTAGGGAGGGGACAGTGTCCACGCTCATGTCCTGGGGCCACCGCAGAGTGCAGGGCGGCGGTCTGTGGAAACGGTCCTGCCTGCCACTGACCGGCGCTTGAGGACTGTCGCTGTTGCCGACGTGGAGGCCCCCGGGTCCCCGGCTCTGGTGCTGACCCCACAGATTCTCTGCGTGCGCACGGCCGGATTCCTGTCCTAACATCGCATTGGCCGCGTTCCCCCCGCAGATGGCGCACAGCTGCCAGAGGTCCCTTGCCTGGCATCGAAGGTCCTCAGCGGTCTGGGGTCCTCCGTCTGCCCGGCCCTCCTGCTGCACCCCCACATCAGCCCGGAGCCTCCATGGGACCATCTCGTCTCTGTCCACGTCAGTCTCAGCCTCCTGCCGCTGGGCTTTGGCTGCTGCCCGCCTGGAGCCCCGGCCTCTCCACCCAAGTCCTCCCCCTGCGGGAGCAGCCCAGGTGTTCCCCGTCCACGCTCTGCCCCTGAGTCCCACGGCCTTCGCTGGCTGGTCCCTTGTTGGTCATGGTCTCTCAGGCTGTCCCCCTGCCCTGCCGTTTACACACACTGGCATCTGGCTCTCTCAAGGGGACCGGCAGGACCGTGCCTCATGCCTGTCAGCATCTGGCAGGGCCGGCCCAGCTTCCGCCACATGGACGTCCCGAAGAAGTCGCCTAAGGGCAGAGGGGCGTGTGGTCACGCGCGAGCATCGCTGACCAGCTCCACGGGCCGCCACGGCGAGCAGGGCGCTCTCGGCTGCGTCTGGTCCCGTCTGGGCGTGCGGAGCAGCCGCACGGAGGTCTCAGCCAGCCAGCCCCGCATCAGCGTCTGCACCAGCCGGCACCACATCTGGCCAGACCCGGGGGCAGCGGGCTCTCCAGCAGGCAAGTCCACGTTAAAGTCCGCAGCGGGCTGCACTGCCCGCGGCAGCCCAGCTCACCCGCCTTCCCCCAGCCGGCGGGAGGACAGTTGGGGTGATCAAGCCCCTCTAAACCTATTCTTGGCCTCACAACCCTAGCCACATCGCCTTCCCATACTTACCTCCTGGGCCTGGGGGCCCCCACGCCGCTCGCCTGCCCTGGCGCCTCGCAGCCTCTGCCCGGCTTCCCGCCACGGCTCCAGGAGCCAGGTACACTTTACCTGACGGAGCTTCGCAGGGCGACACACCCCGGAGGGGAGGGAGGGGGCGGAGGGCTTCTCTGATCTGCGTTCCCAGGGTGGGGGGAGAGGCCACCCCGGCCTCCTGTGATTGGCCACCCAGATCCCTGCAGCACACATGCTCTCGGCTGGAGCCTAGGGCGGTGGAGCTGCTGTCCACGCAGTGTGCTGCCCGGCTGGGGGCCTGGGCCTCAGAGTGCAGGGCGAGGCCAGGAAGACGCAGGTCTCTTTGGGGGCGCCTCACGGTTTCGAGAAGACATCTCTGAGGCAGGCCGGGCTGGCAGGCTGCAGTGGCGTGGGCCCCCTGCAGCAGAGCGAAGCCCCTCGCTCAGCACTGTTCACCCCCTCGGCCCACGGGAGCCTCAAATCTGCAGATGTCACGTCTGCAGGGGACCGGCCAGCACCACTGTCACGGCTCCTTCCCGAACTCCGGTCACTCTGCACTTCCTGTTCTGCTCAAGGTGCTGTTTTACACGTAGTCACATCCCCCCTTTACCTGTCCTTCACGTAAACAGCCAGGAACCCCTGAAGTTCACGCTCACTGCGCTCCCCCTAACACTAGAACAATCGCGTAAGCACTGGAGTGAGGGGTGCTCCGGTGCCCGCCGAGCCGCCCATAGGTGAGGAACGTGCTTTGGGACGGGAGCCCGACCTCGCGCTGCAGCAGCCAAGGCTGGGGACACTCTGGGGGACACCTGCTGCTCCAGGTCCCACAGTGGCACGGTGGGGCGGGGGGACGAGCCCTGCCTGCATGTCGGCCCTGGCAGGGGGCCCGGCACCCTGGGGGTGAGCCCGCTTCCGGCTCAGCTCTAGCTGGGGCGCGGGGACACCGGGGCTGGGGGCGCCCCGCGTCGTCACCCCCAGGAGGTTCCAAACGCAACTTCGACAGGGTTTCTGGCGTCCCCAGGCCCCCAGTGGCACGGAGGGCCAGGCAGCTGTTGGACCCACAGCAGGCTGACTGACCGGCGGGGCTCCCGCCGTGACGACAAAGCCGGAGCTCAGTGCTCCCTTCCGTGTTGGGCTCCTCAGCCCACGCAGCTGGAGGCCCCCATGGCGCAGTGAGGGAGGGGAGGCCTCCGAGGCTGTGGAAGGCCCTCAGCTGCCCAGCTGGTGTGGCAGTCACCCAGGTGGCCAGCTCAGGTGTGGAAGGCCCTCAGCTGCCCAGCTGGTGTGGCAGAGTCACCCAGGTCGGCACCCAGGTGGCCAGCTCAGCTTCACCAAACGGAGGGCCGGGCTTGGGGAGGCTGGGTCCCAGCCCCCACCATGGGCCATCGACTGATGAGCAAGGCTCGGGCCATGGCGTTGCTAGGAGATGGGCTCCGGGCGGACAGGTCCAGCCTTCAGGTCGCACTGCCCACCTGCCCTGCGAGCTCCCTGGAGCCCAACGGAGATGCCCAAGTGCAGACAGCAGATGCACAGGGCCCAGCACCCGTCCGCCACCCCATCAGTCACTTCTCCAGGCTCCGCTCCCTCCCCAGCCCCCAGGGAGGGGAGGGGACTGTGGGGTCCGTGAGCACAGCAGGGCCTCCTGGGCAGCCGGGGTGGGGACAGTCCAGCTGAAAGCCAGATGGACAAGTTGGAGCTCAGAGTGGGGTCTGGGCTGGAGACATATTCTAGAAGCAGCCCCAGGAGACCATGAAGGACACGCTCCAGGGAGTTGAGAGACACTGAAGCTTAGAGCAGAGAAGGCTGAGAAGTGAGAAGGGGAGGCGGGAATGGCAGGGCCAGAGGGGCAGGTCCCAGAAGCCAAGCGGAGAAGCCCGTGAAGGAGGGGGCACCACGCGTGTGACGTGCAGGGCCCAGAAGGTAAGCGCCGAGGACATCCTCTGGCCCAGTGCCTGGCCGCTGACCTCGCCCGCAGGGGGCATGGAGGCGGGTGCGAGGTGGACGCAGAGCCCGCGGAAGGTCCCTTGCAGGACAGGAGACTCGAGCATGCTGACAGGCCGAGAAGCAGCGGGAAGGGGGACAAGGCCGAAGGGACGAGGGGGGCCCAGGGGAAGGGGATGGGCGGGCTGCCTCCGAACAGGAGGAACATGCTGCCTCCAAGGCCACAGGGAAGGTCAAGGGCAGCAGGGGCCTCAGCGACCCGGAAGCAGTGAGGCGGCCTGTGCAGGGCTCGGAGGTGAGCGCTCAGGCTGCCTGGTGGCCGCTCGGCCGATGCCCAAGGGGCTGGGGGCCCACGAGGGCGGGGCTGGCTGCTGTGAGCCCGCAGGGGCCCTGCCGCCCCGGTCAGCTGGGCTGAGCCGCCCCGGGAGGAGCGGGGACGTCGGGCTGCCTCCGCCGGCCTCTTACCTGTCAGGTGAGTGGGGCCCCACAGGGCACTGCCACCATCACCAGACTGTCCAGGCTCTGCCTCTCTGCCTGGACCCACCGAGGACAATGTTCTGTGTCCCCTCTCGGACACAGCACTTACCAGGTCACGAGTGAAACACTCTTAATCTCTAAATCTCTTGAAATTCAGAAAGAGAGAAACAAGACGATTTAATGGTGGCTGCCGTGATTTACAGACAACGGAGGGGACACGCCTGTGTCCATGCGCGGGCACGAGACTCAGGGACGAGTGCCGATCCAGGCGCAGGGGCTATGGCACTCAGGCCACAGCTCGGCCTTGCGTCACGTGGCTCAGGAACGGAGGGGGAGGGGCCCGGGCACCACCACGCGTCCGTGCGAGGGAGCAGGAGACAAGCGGCCAGGTGTGCCCTAAGACCACGGTGGGGCCAGGCCGAGCTCGGCTTGAAGGTGGCCACAAGGCGCACAGCAGAGGGGGCACACGCGGAAGGCTGGCTGGCTGTCCCCTCCCTGACGCCGAGTCCTGCCGGCCCAGCTCCACCTTCCAGAAGAGTCCTAAGATTTGGAGCTAGAAGGGCAGCAAGGGTGGAACCAGGACGGGCAGAGCCCCTGCCACTAGGACACCCCGGGCCCCACTCCCCCCGCCTGCCGGCCCCTGCCCTCAACCAGAGACCGGAGCAGGCAAGCTAGGGACCAGGACCCGTCGCCTTCCGACTCAGCCAGCAGAGAACGCTTCTCCAGAAGAAAAACGCCACGGCCTTCACAGGGAAGACCCAGTCGGTGGTGCCAGGGAGGGGAGGCATGTCCCTCATGCTGTCCTACGCGGGAACCGGTGGCCCTGGCGCCTGCGCCGGCATGGCCTAGCTGAGCATCTTGTGCCGGTCGAACACCGTCTTCCGCTGCTCCCGCACCTGCAGCTTCCACCGCTGCTGGGCGCCCTCCACGCGCCCCAGGACGGTGTTGGCCCGGGCAGCTCCGCGGGGGGCCGTGGCAGTAGCCGCAGAGCGGGCGTCCTGCAGGTGGAGGGGGGGAGACGTGTGTGCCTCCACGTGCCTGCGTCTCGGAAACCAAGTGAACGCTCCGAGCAACCTCGACCGGCACCCCGCCTCCCCAAGGAGGGGCTCCTGAGGGCCATGCAGGCCATCCACGCTGGCCATCCCCTGCAGGGCGCCTGGCCCCCGAGGCCCAGTGCTTGTGGATCTGTAGGGCAGACCCTGCCCGTCCTGGGGCCTGGGAGGGGGCAGATCCAGGAGTGGGACCCGGGCCCTAGGTAGCACATGGCCCGCACACCCCGGCTGCCGGCACAGGCTCATTTCTACCTCGCGAGGGGACACTGAGTGTTGGCCTCAGGACATCATGGGGCCAGCGCAGAGGATGTGATGGGGTCTGTGGTGTGACTAGCTGCACCCACGTCCCCCTGGGCAGCAGGTTGGCCAGGCGGGAGGAGGGGCCGCACAGCTGGGGACCCAGAGGACCTCTTGGGGACGGGACGTGGCTGCACACAGGGCGTCTGGCAGGCACGGACCCTGCATCTCCACCCAGAGCCTGTTCTGGCCTCTCCACGCGACCGGACGGCCGCCCCCTCCCGCCCCCTCTGCTCCCAGCTTTCTGTCACCAAGGCGGCATCCGCCCTAATTACCACTCTCTGCCTGAGCCCTGGAGCCCCTGCATTTCCTGCAGGACCCGAAGCTGATCTGGGGGGAATTAGCGCCCAGGGCCAGGCCCCCGCCCGTGGGGATTTCCTCCCCAGCTCCCTGCCTCTCATCTCCTGCCACCCGTCTCTTAAGGGATTAGCTCGCCCCTCTGAGCCCGCAGCCGCCCACAAATGCGACTCTGCTCCTGACGCCCTGGGCTGGCACGGCTTCTGTTGCCATGCAGCTGCCAGGCTGGGGGCGGCTAGGTGCGGGCAGGGGACGCAGAGAGAGCTGGCCATTGCAGGGAGGGGTGGCTTGGGGGTCTGTCACTGCAGAGCTGAGTCACTGGTCCCGTCCAGGCCCGAGGAAGGCCGCCCTGCCAGGTGGAGCGAGGCAGGCAGGGCATGCAGGCTTGGGGTCAGGGCCCTGCTTGCGGCCCATGGCGGACACTGAGAAGGACGCTGGCCGTGCCACTCAGCAGCCGTGTGTCCCTGGACAAGTGACCTTATTTCTGACTCCCATTTAGCCGAGTCTGTTCTCTGCAGTCTGTTTTGACTGTGGTCACAGCGGGCATCACATTTACCCAGTGACCGCACACGCGTGGACACACGCACACGCGCGCGTGCAGACACACATCCCCCTCGCCAAACACGGAGCGTGACGTGTTCTGGTCCATGTTTCAGAAATGCTAAGTTGGTTCAGTGACCTTGGGCCGCGACTCGCAGCTTGCAAACCACGGCTTACGCTGGGAGACCAGCAGCAGTGGGGATGCAGCCCTGTGAGGGGGGTGCCCGGTGCCCAGCGCCCAGCAGGACGTGCACCGCTGCCTCTGACACCCGCCCGCACTCGGCCGTGGCCCAGCTGCACCGTTCCGGCCCGTTTCCCACCCACGGAGGGGACGGGAGCCGCTTCCTGACAAGGCCCGGCGCGCAGTGTTGGGCGGCACGTGGCGGGCAGCAAGCATGACTCTGGCCAGCCCTGGCATGGACCAGGCAGGGCAGGGGACGGGGTGGGCTGCCCACTGCCAGGGCGGCTGCCCTTGAAAGTTTCCATGGCCTTGCAGACCTCTCTCCCTGCTGCAGCCGATCCCACAGCCTCCGGGCCGTGGGACGCCCCGACATCCACGTCTGCGGATAGCCACCTACCCACACGTCGCATGACACCGTCCGTCCCCTGCTCAGAAGCCTTGCCTGGTGACCCTGCTGCTGACAGAGGCCTGCGCCTGAGCACGGCTCCCGCGCCTGAGCTGGGCCCGCCTGCCCACAGCCGATGTGGCCTTTCCCGGCCACGGCAACGGCCTCGCGGCCAGGCTACTGGGCCTGCTGTCCTCAACTGCCCCTCCCACAGTCACAAGGCCCTGCAGGTGTAAGACCCAAGTGAAACAGCCCCTTCTCACGCCTGAACAGGTGTCAGAGCTGGCCACTCACTGCCCCGTGGCGGGAAGACCGGCCACAGCGACTCCGGACGCAGAGGGCCGTGCGGGAGGGCGAGCACCATGGACAGCGACGGGCAGAGTGGTCTGGGGCTGGCTGGGGCCCGCGTGCCTAGACGTCATGCCAGGAGTGTTGGTGACCGCACGCCTCTCTGCTCTGTCCTCTGAGGGGACGAGGGGACGGTCCCTCTCAGTGTGTGTCTTCTCCAGGTCTCTGTCAGCTCCCGGGGCCGGGGGCCCCAGCACGGTGCTGCCCGCCCACCCCTGGGCTGGGGGACACCACTCTCGTGTCCCCGAGTCCTGTCCACCCCAGGCCCTTTGTGTCCCCGTGCCATCAGCATCTCTCCTCAATTTCCACTCACCCCTCCCACAGGGCCCAGGAGCGCGCCCAGGGCCCGGTGGGGACAGACGTGAGGACACGCGGTGAGCAGCAGATACCCAGGCCTCACAGCAGCCCTGCCTCTCCCTTCTAAGGGGCCGACCCCGCACATCTGGGCTCCGTCTGCTGCTGCTGCCCCAGCAGGCACGCGCTTCCGCCTTTCAAAGGGCGTCTGAGCCCCGGGATTAGGCTAATGCGCTGGAATCCTGCAGACAGCGCCCAGCCCTGGCCCCGGCACTTTCAAAGGGGCCTGCTGCTTTCATCTCCCTGCTGGGGGTGGGGTGGCCCTCCCCTTCCCCTTCCCGTCCCCCAGCCCCAGGGCGGGAAGGCTCCCGGCTCCAGGAGTTGGGTGGAGCCAAGGGCCCCCAACCCCGCACAGCGATCCGACCTCCAGATCTCGTCCGCTTGGCCCCACGGGGCTGGAGCCCAGAGCCCAGAAAGTACCCTTGTCACGGTCACTAAGCTGTTCAGGCCGAGAACTTGCAGAGAACCTGGGAGTTCCCATCTGGCTCCCCTCCTCCTAGGGCGAAAGCGAGGCTCCCGCGTCGCTGGGTGGGGTGCCCTCATGTCCTTCAGGAAGACCCTCCAGACCCCTAACAAACCCAGGGACACAAAGCCAGGCAGCCTGGGGACCCGCTGTCCCCTCCAGTGCCGTGTGCCCTGAGTGTGCTCACCACCCAGGACAAAGTGGGTCCTGGGCTCCACACTCCCCTCTGTCCTCGGGGCCCTGCTGACCGTCCCCTGCCCGGCAGCCTGCCTTCCCAGACCAACTCGGACCTGAGCCCCAGCTCGGTCTGGAAAGGGGCCTCTAGGGGCCGCGGACCTCCTTCCTGGCTGCCCGCCCCCTACGCCTGGTCCTGCCCGACCATTATGTCCCTGGGTCCCCGGCCGTGGCCGTCTAGGGGCAAACACGAGTCTGTGAACCCACACAGTGCCCCCGCGGGGCTCCCGAGAATGGGGAGGACCAGGGGCACGTGCTCGGGACAGTGTGGAGCCCCTGGACCCCAGCAGGGACAACTGGGGGCCCCTGAGACGGGGCTACCTTACCGCAGCGTTAGGGGAGGGGGTGGAGAGACCATGCCCAGGCCGTCCACACCATGGGCCAGGCAGCAGAGACGGAATGCACTTTTAACACCTAGAACTTCGGGGAGGGGTGTCACCCACTCAACCCCCTTCCTAGAGCAGACTGCTTCACCGGCACGAAGCGGGGGCTGCCAGCCTCAGCTCCACAGCTGCTGCAGCCCCTGCTCCCAGGCGTCCTGGACACTAGGGTGGCCGGCGTCTCCCTAGTGGACCATGCTCCGTACTCGGCCAAAGTCCACCCCCATCAAGTTCCGCTCCAGGAAGCCGACTGACCACACGCAGCCCTCCTCCCCAGGCCTCCTCACAGAGGCGGCAGGGCTTAAGACTCAAAGTGGGGAGCCCCCAGGGGGAGGGGGGCCCAGGGCGGCAGGCACCCCAGCCCCGCCCGCATCCTGGTCACGCAGAGAGCCGTGCATTCCAGGGCCCTCTGCCCGGCTGTGGGCACCGTGCATCTCTCAATTACTCCGCAGCCAGGTCTGCAATTACCACATCACCCTGATCACCGAGTGTTCATTAGTGACGCCCACCCCCCCATCAGAGCTGCTGCGACTCTGCATTAATAACCAGGTAGGTGCACAGGGCTCCCCCTGAGCAGACCACCCGCCGCCAGCACCGCCACCTCCCTGGCAAGGCACACCCTCTCTGCCCCACCTCTGGCCAAACTCATGCCAGCAGGAGGCTGGGGGCAGCAGTGGGGCCCGTGGGGGTGGCCGGGCTTCCCTCCTCCCTGGCCGCGGGTGGGCCCGGACCCACCGTAGCCTGCGGCTTCATGCAGATCGGAGCCCCAACCCTCTTCTCGGGGGGCCTGCTCTCCCCCGCCTCCTATCCTGTGCCTCTAGGGCTCTGAACTACGGCCCCCGGTGCCGGCTTAGCCCGGGGGACTTCTAGTGACCCCGAACTCACTGCCTTACAGGGGCCACCGCCCACCACTGACCGCGTCGTCTGCAACACCCCTCACACCACTTAACTCCCCCAGTTTCTTCACCTCACTGTCCTAGGACGAGGCCGAGACCTCAGACCCCCTGGGGGGCATGCTGGCTCCTCGGTGCCCCCCTCCTGGCACCCTGGCTTCCTCTGCGGGCATCCGTAACCCTCCGCGTGGGGCGGACAGGAAGGGGTGCAGCCCCCCGCCGTGTGAGTGCACAAGGGGGCCCACCCTCCTCAGCTCAGAGAGCAGAGACTCCTGAGCGTGACCGACGAGCCAGCTCGAGTGGTCACTCCTCCACGTGACAGAGCTCCTCGTGCACCTGATGTCCCCCTGGCGCCACCTACCTGACCTCGTTGGCGCCACCGGGCCGTGCTCTGCACCGAGCAGGTGCTGAGCAGGTGTCTGCGATCCCTATGATATACCCGCACCTCAAAGCCAACCTGACGCCACCGAGCAGCCAGGACACCACACCACGTGTGTCCACGTGTGACTGGCCTGGCTGGCTCATGCCCCTCTGCCGCCAAGTGCAGTGTAACAGGGAGACACGGTGCCACAGCCGTCACCGAGGCTGCCCGATACCAGACATCTGGAGAATCCCCGGGGCCACCTCCTGTGTCACCTGGAGGTGCACGGGGCAGTCCCTGAGGAGGAAATGCTGGAGTCTGGGTGACGTGTGGGACACTCAGCAGGAGAAGGGGCGGTGGAGCGCGGGGGAGGGGCCGGGTGGACAGGGGCTGGCAGGCCCGGCGGCGTCCATTACCTCGCTCTCCTCCTCATTGTGCAGCTGCTCCGTGTACGCGTCCGGCTTCCGAATCAGAGGGTCCACCAGCATCAGGAAGGCCATGTAGAGCAGCAGGGCCCCCACCGCCGACAGGTAGATGACAATGATGACCTGGGAAGAGACCCGGGCCCTGTGAGTGGCGGCCGGGCCAGCATGGCCCACCTGTCTTCTGCCCGTGCCACCTGTGTTCAGTGGCAGTGGCCCCACGGTGCGGCATGGAGGGCGTGGGGCTGGAGACTGTGGCTGGGGAAACAGTGTGCCCAGGAGGGCAGCGTGGCCCTACACCACACATTCCCTGACTCTGCCCAAAGCCGAGGGTCCCCCGAGCACCATCTGGTCTCCAGCAGCCAGACAGACACAGGTGAAGGAAGCGTGCATCAGGACGCCCTGAGATGACCCCGGGGCGGGAGTAGGGGAAGGGCCCACTGGCTGCGGGAGCATCCACAGCACAGGTGGAAGCCATCAGACGCCATGCAGAGCCCAGGTGGCTGGGCAGCGGCCAGGAGCACGGACCTGCATGGGCGCCTCTCCCCACCACAGAGAGCAGGATGGCTGGGCAGGCTTCGGTTCTGGGAACAGAGCCCTGGGCGGAGGGGACAGTCAGCCTTCAGGGAGGGGACAGTCAGCCTTCAGGGAGGGGACAGCCAGGGCAGGATGGCAGCCTCGCGAGTCTCCTATGGACAAGCAGAACCTCACAAGCTGCTGCTTCATGGAAGAGACAGCTTCGACGAGGTGGATTCAGCGTTTCTCAGTGTGGGCGCCCTGGCCCTTTGGGTGGGACGCCCCAGGACACGGAGCACATGGCCCTGCAATGGTGTCGGCCACACGCTCAGCTATTGGGACCACAGAAGCACTCATTCTACGTGACCCTGGAGGGCAGTAAGCACCTGTCTGGGGACCACGGAGCTAAGCCCTTCAGCCTTAGGTCCAGCGCTAGAAAATGGTACAGGTGTCACTTGTACCCCAGTTTGCAGACTCTGCCGCAAATGCTCTTTCGACCTCCACGATGCCCAGCCGGCCATCGCTGGGCCTACGCAAACACGGGTCACGGAAGCACAAGCAGCAGCAGCCGTATGCCCTCCTGCCCTGTGCTGGCACCGGACCCCCCAGCCCTGAGCCACAGCCCTCCGGGTGCTCAGAGGAGGCCAGTGTCACTTTGGAAGCTCAGTCAGACAGCCTTACACGTCTGCTGGCAGCATCCTCCTGCGTGGTGCCCAGAACGTAAGAGGCACCAAGAGGTGTTTATGGTACGAACGGAAGGAAAGAGAGAGAAAGTGAAAGAATCGAGAATGGCAGAGGAAAAGGAAGGGGCTTCCCCCAGGCTGTCACCCCCAGAGGAAGGGGGCCCTGGACAGAAGTCAGGGGGCTGGCTCCAACAGGTGGGAAGAGGGTCCCTATGTCTGTGACAGCCCGGCCCACAAGCCAGTCCCACGGCCCCGTGGAATGTTCTGGAACACAGCCGGAGCCTGCAGGAGCTTGGCGGCCCGGGGCGGGACGTCACCTTGATGGTGGCGGTGCTGCGCTCCTCGTACTCGCACTCGCACAGCAGGCAGTAGGCCTCCACGTCACGGCTGGGCACGGGCATGGGCTCCACCACGTGCAGGCAGGTGCTGCGACGGAGCGGAGGGCGGCGGTGGGGCGGGGCCGAGGCTGA